TTTTAAGATTTTATTTATTTATTTGACAGAGAGAGACACAGCGAGAGAGGGAACACGAGCAGGGGGAGTGGGAGAGGGAGAAGCAGGCTTCCCACCGAGCAGGGAGCCCGATGCGGGGCTCCATCCCAGGACCCTGGGATCATGACCTGAACCGAAGGCAGATGCTTAACGACTGAGCTACCCAGGCACCTCCTCCCTTGCCTCTTTTAAACCAGAGCAGCCAAATCCAGCCTTGGGTGGCCATAGCTTCTTGAGACCTAATGCACGATGACTTCTCCAGCAGCCAGATGGGCTGTGTTGGTGGCTTCTGCCTAGCATTTCTTTGGAAGCCACAAATGGGTAAATTAAAGGTGGGAGATACTCTCCAATCTACCAGCATACTTTTATCCAAACTTTTGACCACATTTGTCCAAGCTACCAACATCCCTGGCACACTGCCACCCCCGGCTCCTGCTTCGTTTATTCATCCCCTACTTGAAAAGTAGGACTATAAGCTTTCTATTCAATGCATACCTTATTATTATTGAATGTTATCTTCTTCCTTCCTTCCTTTTGCTCTGCATTCAGATAATTATTTCTTTTTAATTCTACATCTCCAACTTTCTTCTAATTTCTTTTCCTCTGAGTCTAAGTTCTTTATATAAAAAAAATATTGGAAAAATTGGGCCGGTCCTTCCCTCCACCTTTAACTTTCTAGCTGCAGTTTGGTCTAGAAAATTCTATTCAGGAGCAAATAGAGAATTGATCCTCACTTAGCTCGTTCGGCTGTCCATTGGGGAAAATTCTGTTCTATAGACTATCTCTAATCCTGACACCCCCAGCTCCTGCTTCATTTATTCATCCCCTGCTTGAAAAGTAGAAATACAAGCTCTTTATTCAGTATATCCCAATGTATGTATAGAATGAGAACAGGCTAGAGGCAGGTCATGACAATGGAAAAAGCCCTAATATCTCAATCTTCCACAGAAATATAAGCTCGTGGTTTCAAAACTCTTTAATAAGAGATGTTTTTCCCTTCCATCACTAGCAGGCCTCACAAATCTGTTTGCCTATGGCTTAGAAGTCAGGCTAGTCCATGTCCTGAAACAGGTGGGAAACTTGTGTTCACCCTTTATTCATTCAGTAAATATTTTTGAGTGCTCGTCATGTGCCAGGCATTGTCCGAGGCATTGATGACTATACTGTGGACTACAGCTCATTGAAAACAAAACCCTGCCTTTAGGTAGCTTACTTCTCGTGGGCAAGGCAAACAATAAGCAAGTAAAAACCATGAAACATATAACATGTCAGAAGGTGATGTGTGTTCTAGCAGGGAAGGGGCAGAGGCAGTGCTGGGGGGAGGGGTGGTCAGGGAGGACATTGGTAGTAAGTGGACATGCAGCAGAGACTGGAAGGAAGAGAACAGAGCTCTGTGTCAGAGCAGGTGTACCTCGGGAAGAAGAGTGTTCCAAGTGCAGAGAGTAATAAGTGCAAAGCCCTAGGGCTGGAGGATGCTCTGTGGGTCGGAGGAATCACAAAGAGGAGGGTTTGTAATAATGCTAAAGAGTGGGCCTGGGAGGGCAGAGTCCGGAAGGCCTGCAGCCTTCAGATTTTCCTCTGAGTGAGATGGGGAACCATAAACAGTTTCAAGCAGAGGAGTGATAGAATCTGATTTAAATATATTAGAAAGTTCACTTTGGCTGCTGAGTTGAAAGTAAATTGTTGGGGGACGGTAGCAGAGAGAGAGAGAGAGAGACCAGTTCCAGAGGCTAATGGAAGAATTAGGATAGATGATGATGGCAGATTGGTCCAAGGTGGAGATGGACATGGTGGTTACATTCTGGGTCTCTTTTGAAGATAGAGCCAACAGGATTTACTGATGAATTAGATCTGGGGAGTAATAGAAAGGATGGAATCAAGAGTGAACCAGGTA